AAGGCTGACAGAGGGGTCTTGTTGTCTGGGCAGCCCAGGACCTCCATAACAACTGCCCAGGCTTGCACTCTGGAGAGGTCACTTCTGTGCTGCTAACGCAACAAAAATAATGCAGGAGGCAGCAGTTATGAGTTACAGGTCTCTGCAGCCACAGCAGGTGCTGTGATTCTCCAGCAGTTTGACTTCACCTCTGGAGTTATACTCCATTGTCTCTCAGACAGATGGATGCCAACAACCAAGACACTGAAGTAGCATTTCAGCACCAGCCTAGGAGTCATGGGTGACAAGGCCACATGCAGGCAAGGGGGGAGGCTGCAGTGAGAAAGCGGAACACTCCCACCTACCGTTACTTCTGTGTCCAGCAGTGAAACCCGGTGGGCTGCCACAAGCCCATCCCCGCAACCAGCATGGAAGTGTGGCAGGCTTTTGCAACAGGGATGGAGCCCTCTTATCATTCCTCAGCCACTCCCTCAGCAGGCTAGCAAATTCTGTGGGCTTATTGACCCACCAAATTTCTCCACAGCGACTTGTTTTTAAATGTGATGTATAAAGAATACTTATCAAGATGATCCAGTAATCCCTTATTCTTCCTAAAGAAAAAAGAAAGATCTTGCCTACTTTATATTTAACCATGTTTGTTCACAGTTATGAATAGTAGCGTTGTTAGTAAGCTGAGGGTGGGGTCGGAATATGTTATCCAAAAATGCAGCTGCTTTGTGTTGCCCAAGGAAAATAGAATCAGTATTTTTGTAACGTAGCTCAGCCACCTGCTGGTATATTCAGACCAAGAACTCACGAACCCATTTTATGGGCAACATACACATTGGCCAAATGAAAAGTCCTTGACTCCCACACCTCTGGATCAGGGCCAACAAGCCTTAACACCTAGAGCTCTGATTTCCATGCACTTACAGTTATGGGAAAAAGAAAGTGCACCCTCTTTGAATTCTGTGGTTTTACATATGAAGACATAATAACAACCATCTGTTCCGTAGGTGGTCTTAAAATTAGGTAAATACAACCTCAGATGAACAACAACACATGATATGTTACACCATGTCATTATTTAGTTAACAGAAATAGAGCCAAAATGGAAAAACCATGTGTGAAAAACTAAGCACACCTTATGATTCTATTGCTTGTATAACCACCTTTAGGAACAATAACATGAAAAAAATATTTCTGTAGGACTTTATGCATCTCTCACATCCTTGTGGAAGAATTTTGGCTCATTCTTCTTTAAGTATTGCTTCACTTCATTGAGGTTTGCTGGCATTTGTTTATGCACAGCTCTATTAAGATCCCGTACAGTATTTCAATTGGGTTGAGGTCTGGACTTTGACTGGGCCATGGCAACACCTTGATTCTGTTCTTTTTCTGTTGTAGATTTGCTGGAGTGCTTGGGGTCCTTGTCCTGTTGTTGTTAAGAAAAACTGGGGTTTTGGCCAAACTTCAGCTGTTGGGCAGATGGCCACACATTTGACTGTAGAATACTTTGGTATACACAGGAGTTCATGGGCGACTCAATGATTGCAAGGTTCCCAGGTCCTGTGGCTCCACTACCATGCTTGACACTTGGTATGAAGTGCTTGTTCTGATATGCTGTGTTTGGTTTTCACCAAACATGGCATTGTGCATTATGGCCAAATATCTCCACTTTGGTATCATCTGCCCAAATACATCATTCCAAAAATCTTGTAGTTTGTTCAGATGCAACTCTGCAAACCTAAGCCATGCTGCCATATTCTTTTTAGAGAGAAGAGGCTTTCTCCTGAAAACCCTTCCAAACAAGCCATACTTCTTCAGTCTTTTTCTAATTGTACTGTCATTAACTTTAACATTTAACATGCTAACTGAGGCCTGAGGAGTCTGAGATGTAACTCTTGGGTTTTTGTTTTGGGGTTTTTTGCAGTTTCTCTGAGTATTGCAGTTTCTCTGGGTACTGTCCCACAACCTAAGTTTTTATTGTAGCCTTGGCAGATGGTGGGGACATCGATCGCAAAGATTCCACTGACAGCCCAAGTTGCTGTACCTTTATGTTAAACCGTTGTAGCCCTGGGGAAAGAAAGGGATCTAGCAAAACTTCACTAGGGAGAGGATCTTTATCTGTTGTGAGGCAGATGTTTAACCAGCATGTAAGAAATCTCGCCCAGGCTACCGTCTCTACCTTGTGTTGACCTCCCTCTAGACACAAGGCTGCATAGGGTACACAACGTGGGACAGCAAAAATCTTAAAATGGAAAGCTGCCTGCACTCGTTCTACCAGCTGGGTAAACCCTGGCAGCCAGACTGGAATTCCGTAGAGCAACTGAGCTATATCTTTGGCATTGAAGACCTTGAGTGCAGAGGGGATATGTGAATTACCCCTTGTTATAAAGAAACACATTGTGGCCTGCATAGACATCTTACTGGCTCACCGCCGTTGCACGGTGCAAGGACCATAGAAGCCTATGATGAAATGTAATTCCCAGGTAGCTGAATTTGAATACCTGCTGGATGGGTTTCCCACCAAATACCCAGCTATAGCTTTTGCATGAATTCCCAAAAACCATTATTTTGCTTTTATCAAAGTTCATGCACAATTTCGTTCTGGACAGATAGTCAATACAGGAATTTAACAAATATTTTAGGCCAATTCTTGTCTGTGAAAGCAAAATCATATCTGCGTATAGAAGGATGGGAATGCTTGATGCATTGAGTTTTGGGCTGTGGGCATCCACCTGTTTTAGTAAAGAAGTGAGATCGTTAAGAAAAAGATTAAAAAGAGAGGGAGCGAGTAAACAGCCCTGCTTTACACCTCTGTTTATAATGACAGGATCTGTCATTACATTCCCTGGTGTTGTTCTTACGCGACAGGTGTTCTTTGCGTAAAGCTTTTTGATCAAGTAAAGTAATCTAGGTTCTATGCCCATTGTCTCCAATTTGGACCATAACAGCCCCCTGTCGACAGTGTCAAAAGCAGCCTTGATATCAAGGAAGGCACATAAAGACATTTTTTATGAAGCCCTGTGGTTAAATGAGATAACACCAAACAGTTGCATAAAGTAGATTTCCCTGGCCTGAACCCTGCCTGCTCTGGACCTATGGTAAAATTCCCAGAGCCTTCCCACTCAGTTAGCCCATTGAGCCACGTCAGGGCCCTGGTGGTGGTCAGCTTGGTAAGTCGCAGACCAGCCAGACTGATTACTGGATCCTGGGATCTACGTTCCCAAAAACAGAAGTCTGGGAGAACAGAGGTATCCAAGATCTCCCATGCTTTTGCATACACCTCCCACCCTTGGCCTAGGTGGGCATTAAAGTCTCCAGTCAAGATAATAGGTAGGTCAGGGCAGACGAAGTCCAGATTCCCGAGCACGTGTGCAATAAATTCCCATTGTAGGTTCTTGGCTGTGACAGTAGGAGTGGGAGGGATATACACATTGATCAGTAACAGTTCCTGGCACACTAGCTCTATCTTTGTTACCAGTACAGTGGTACCTCGGGTTAAATACTTAATTCGTTCTGGAGGTCCGTTCTTAACCTGAAACTGTTCTTAATCTGAAGCACCACTTTAGCTAATGGGGCCTCCCGCTGCTGCTGCGCTGCCGGAGCCCAATTTCTGTCCTCATCCTGAAGCAAAGTTCTTAACCTGAGGTACAATTTCTGGGTTAGTGGAATCTGTAACCTGAAGCGTATGTAACACGAGGTACCACTGTAATTTACAGCTAGCATTTGTTG